CTTTCTTGGGATGGGCTGTGGGTTTAAGATTGCATTTTGGTCTTTCCTCTTGTTGTTTTTCTATATTTCCATGTTTCAAGTGATATTCCAAAGTTTCCCCTGAGCATGTTGGAAATAGCCTCCTATGCCCTCGGCTCCTGGGACTGAATGGAGGTTGCTGAATGTGGTCCAGTCTGGCCCATAGGACCTCCCATTGCACCTCCGGTGTTCCAGGAAGTTGAGTGGCCTCCTAACCACTGTGGTTGATGGTCCAAAGCTCTCCCTGGGCTAGCTCCGATGTACTGGAAGTCACCTCACATGCCTTCAGGTCCCCTGATTGAATGAAGGTTGCTATGTGTAGTCTAATCAACCAAAACCTCCTGAGCCTAGTCTAGTTTGGCTGGAAGTTGAGCAGGCACTTAACCACTGGGAGCAATGATCTTAAACCCTCCCTTTTCTCTGCTGGTGTGCTGAAACTCACCTTGCATGGCCTCAGCTCCCCAGATTGAAAAAAGGTTGCTGGGGATGGTCCAGTTAGGCCTGAGAAACCTGCGGAGCCTACCTAGTCTAGTGTGGCTGGAGGCTGAGTGGGCACTTAATCACTGGGAAGATGATCTTAAATTCTCCCCAGGCTGTGCCTGTTGGTTTTACTTAATCTTTCAGCAGTTTCAGTCTGGCATGAGGACCCAGATCTTAATGTCAAGTATTATGACCCTGGAGGAGTGCTTTTCTGTTAGCTCCTGATAGTACCAAATAAAGATGTCATAATAGCATGTTGTTCCTAAAGGTTCAGTAGCATCGACATCACTGAGAATTTTGCACAAGTGCAATCTTGAATCCTTCCCAGATCTGCTGTCTTGGAACCTGCATTTTGTCAAAATTCCAGGTGATTCTGCATCAGTTACAGAGAAGTCCAGCTCTAACACCATTCGGACACTTTCCAAGGAAGAGGCAAATTATCTGCCATGCTTTTAATGAAATCTATCAGGTATTGTTACTGTCACTGAGGAACAGGAGGATTTAAGGGCAAAAGCATTTAGTTTCATGAGAGTCTTTTGACATCTCCTATAGTAAATTGCAAGGCCTCTTATACCTGTTTGTGCCCATGGCAGTAAGGCTAGTGGAAGACAGTGCCCTGGGGGCCTGCCAGGTAACTGGGTCAGTGTCAAATCAGTCTGCTTTCCAAGTTCTCCTTCATGGCTCTTTTACCTCCTGATTGTCTGTCCCTTGAACATGATAAGTTGAACCAAGCCTTTATTTCTCTGCTGAATTTGCAGTATTAGTCATGTTTACATTAGATTTTTTAATCACAGACTGCCTGACGCACATAGGCCTTAATTCATCCTGGAGCTATCATGGTACAGCATTCTTAAAATGTGTAACATTATGCTTTATATGAACTCTGTGTCCAGCAAAGGAATTAGTGACGAGCTTTTCAGGAAGTGGTTCTATTCTTCTACATTTTTGTAAATTCTCTTTTGTATTGAGAAACTTTTTTGACTACAACTCAGGAAAGACTCACAATTTTTTCTTGAGGTTCTCAACATTTATTTAAAATTACTGAGAGGGCCACTGTAGGCATTTCTATGGATTGGCTTCTTATTTTACTGGACAGTTTTTGTTCCTCAACTGCTTTTTGGTTTTGTTTTGTTTGTTTGACATAGAGTCTCCATATGCATTCCAGACTGACCTCAAACTGGTGGCAGTTCCTGGCTTACAGATGTAGGCCACTGCACCCTGCTTTGTGCCTTGATTACTTTTATCTTCTAGAAATATGGATCCTCGTCAGTTACGAGTGCCCTTAACATGGTAGCCACAGTAACCAGTTCTAACAACTTATTTCTGATTTTTCTGGGTAATTTAATTTTCTGATTTTTTTTAACCTTTGCTATCTGAAATGTACTTTGAAAAGAAAAAAAAAAAAAAAAAAGCAAAAGGGGAAAAAAACCCCAGAAAATTTTCCATTGCAATTCATATATGTTGCTTCCTATTGTATAAAATCTCAATTTATTTACCAGAATAACTTTTAAGCCTTAATTCTAAGAATCTCTTCATCAGGTTTTATTTACAACAGAAACCTAGTTACATGAAACACATAACCATTTGCTTTCAGTTTTGCTCTTGAATTATGTTAGTGCAGTGTAAACCTGAACTCATAATTTCTGCCATCTATAAGGATCTCCAGATGTTTCTGACCATAGATGGCTCTCATCAGTGCCATGTGTTGTCAGCAGTTAAATTTCCCATACTGACATCATTTTGAATAGGTGGCCCTGGCTGGCATGCCTCTCCAGGTCATATGGCCTCTTCCTCACTGAGGTCAGAGGCAGCCTCAGTGTCCAAGGCTCCTAACACAATACAATGCCTTGCATACAGAAGGAACCAGTTTGGTTATCTGCACAGATGAGGCCAAGTCTCTTCCTGTTTCCCATTCTGCCCTATTTGTAGGCTTCCTGGCTTTGTTCCAGTTATGTGAAGCTTTCTCACACACGCATTTTCTTTTGAATTTCCTAGCTTGTGACTTTTCTTCATTGACCCAAATCTTCATTCCCCAAATCTCATTCTGACCTGCCACCTGAAACAGTTCCATTCTTTGAAATAATGCCTGGCCTGAACATTACTTCTGCTGGGTCTGCATTTATTAATCTTTATCATTCACTTTGATCCTTTTCTTCCTCCTGCCTATCACCTCCCTCCCAGGCTTATTCATAAACCTGTGTGGCCTTGTTCACCATCCAACCTGCGGTTATATGTGTATGTTTTACCTCACTTATAAAAGAGCGATAGCTATTTGAGGGTAAAACTTTTGTCTGATTGTGTCCTAGTGTTTAGCACACATTCTCAGTAAATGTATTTGTTTATGCATTGTGTTTGTTGCTATTTGAAATTTCTTGCTTTTAAAGGCAAGGAAAACGGCTTTCTGGTTTATGACCAGGAGTGGGGATGGAGTTTTCTGTGGTTACTCTTTTATTTTTGTTTGTGGATTGCTTACCTTATACCTGCCAAGGGTGTCAGTTGCTTTGTTGCTTATAGCCATGTGTGGTAGGAGTGGCAGAATCACAGGTTTTTGAGAAATCTTGCAGACTTCACTTTGTGTGAATTGCTCTTCAGAGTGGAGGTTGGCTATCTGCACTCTTTAGTTTCTGTGAATTTGAGAGCACCTCTCTATGTGGGTGTTAGTGGTTGTTTTTCCACACATGATAGGTTGCCTTTGGTTCATTTCTTCTATTATGTGTGAATCTTTTGCAGAGGGTCCAACTTATCTGAGCAACAGAGGCCAGAAAATATCATACAATAAACGATGCCATCTGGCTCGGTAGTTATTTACTCTTGCTGCTGTACCACTCCTGATGAGCCCTAGGTTCTCCGCTGTCATTGGAATTGCTGGAGAAGGGTGACTGCAGCTGTCCTGAGGCAATGGAGTGGCCTGATAACACTCCTGCCTGCTGGTGTGGAGTGCAAGTGTCCCATATTGCCAAGGTGGGCACGGCTGCGCTTTATGGAAAGTGCTATTAAAATGACACATGCTAAGGGAACACATATGGAGTCTTGCTTAGGTGGGTGTTTAATAAAGTCTCTTTTCCACCACAATCTTCACAGGTTTCCCTGCAAAGCTACCCAGGTAGAGGCATTGGGATGGTGTCAGCTCAGCCTCCAGACAGGTCCTCACCTCTCTTCCAGTTGGGCGGTCATTGGGAAGCACCTCCTCCAGGAGAATGCCAGGGCTGCCATGGCTTCTAACATTATTTCAGCATGCACTAATAGTGCCCTAGGTGTCTCTCTAAAGGGGAAGGAAAGAAATACAAATTTTAATATTCTTAGACCTTAAGTCTGTGGCACTTTTTAGAAAAGGTTGGAACAAAATACTTGTAATTTTGTGTGGTATTGTCTACCTTTAAATATTGCTGTAAACATTTATCTTCCACGGTTTCAATGATGTTGTTGGTGAGGCCGTTTGTGCCAATTATATATCATTACTTACATTTATTCACACTTTACAAAGCATTTCCACAAACCGAGTGCTGCTTGTTACGGGTTTATAATAAAACGCCTGGAGTGTCTTGGGGGTATGAGGAGGAATCCAGCCTCTTACAATTCAGTGTTAATTTCCTGAAAACTCCCCAAGTTAACATTAATCTTTATGAGGCAAGTTTTTTTGGCTTTGCCACCTCTAAGGTGCAGTTTCTTTACATAAAAATTACTTTCTAGATAGTCATCTGTACAAGTCGTGTTAGGCAGTCATGCCTGTCAAAACAGTTTTTTTTTGTTCTCTGTATCTTTCTTCTAACTTTCCTCTTTAAGAAGTTCTGGGAAAGGAAATGAAAAACAATACTTGACCTCTGATAAATGCATTGTTTTGATTATGATCAGGTCTTTGTAGAATTTATCTTCGAGAGTCTTTATCTTTAAGAGCCCTGAAAAGCTTGGGAAGCTTTCATTGATCCAGGTCCTTTCCCACGTTACCCAGTGTGACCATGGAGGTTTGTTCAGTTGGCTTTTTTATACTTTCTGAACTGAAGCATCTTGAAGTTACAAGAGAAGCAGGGATCACAGTGATTGCACTAGTTGAAATCGGTGTTTAAATCTGCCTCCTGATGTTGTGTTTGCTCTATCTATCTAGGTGACCAAGATACAATAGAAGATTTTCATTTCGGAGAATCTTTATGCTCTAGGTCTCCTTTGCTGCATACATTCTGGAAATGCATAAAATGTCTTCCATTGTTAAAGTAACTGTTAAATGAATGTTAAAGGAAAAAATCATGAAAGTAGTCATTTGCTTACTCATTCAGATAGAGACAAACTAATTCCAGGAAAACAGAAAAGAGAAGTGGTCTGAGTAGTTTTACTATCATTGAGAAAGGTAGTCAGACAACTTTGAAGAAAACGTTGCTTATGTCTGGTTATAATAATCTTTTCTATCAATAGAATGTGTGTTTTTTTTGTAAAATAGTTTCATTTACATGTCATATTTAATATTGGAAACAGCCTTCTGAGATGGGTATAATTATCCCATTTTACAGATGTGGAAGTGGAGGCCCAGAAAGATGAAACCAGATTCCTAAGCTGTAATAGGACCGTTCATTCACTGAACCTGTGTAATGTATTTTGAATTCTTTTTTCGTCACTTCATTGCTTAATGTATAACTAAATCTAACACTAAAATGTGTGTTGCCAACTGCTTTGTCTTATTTTGGGGATGTCATTTGGGAGTCTTTTGGAATAAAACCTTTTACATAGTTCTTCAAAAAGTGGTGTTAGAAGTGCTGATGTCAGATGCCTTGAAAATTGAAACACTGGACAGTCTCCTCATTCAAGTCTTCTCTGAGGGTTTTGTCTACCAGTCTCACTGGAGTTCAAATTATGTAATGATCTATTTTTATCTTTCTCTTTTCTGTGGGGGTAGTATTTTTCCTTTTTTTAAACCACATAGTTGGCCCCCATGACCATTGTCAGTAGACAAATGTTGCCAGTTCTAAAAGCTATGCTGGCTGCTATGATCTCATGATTCTGTCAAGTTCAAAGTGCCCAGCACAATCAGGAATGTTTACCTGATTGTGGGTAAGAGCTCTGCTTCATCATTATGGTACAGAGATCATGTATTAACCTGGTTTTCTTTCCCACAACTTGGAGACTTTCTGAATAGAGATGCAGAGAAGAACAGAATTGTTTTTGTAGCACAAGTAACACAGGCATCTAATATTCAGTTCAAAGAGTTTTACATAAAAGAATATACCTTGAGAAACAGCATAGCCTGACTTAATGACTGACATTTGCACAGGACATGATAAAAAAAGAATGACCTTGATTAGTAGAAATTGTCTTTGGTTTGCCTGAAGAACTCTTGCCTTCCTACAATTTATTCTGCATAAATGTTACTTTTTCTGTACTTCTGTATTTTTTCTGAAACAGAAGCCCATCATACCTCACGTTGTTTGATAAAATGGTTGTGATTAAGGGCTGTGTTAAATCATTAGCGCCCACACCATGGAATAGCCTGGTTTCTTTCCTTGTCTGCCCTATTCCTCAGGATAATTTTACTAGTGGACTTTGGTGGGCATATGAGAATCACTTTGATTCCTTCTCAGTGGAAATTCTGTAGCAAAGATGAGCTTTATTAAGTCATGACTGGATTAATGCCATAATTGGTAAAACTTTTCTCAAATTGTAATAGATTTCAGAGTAACTTCTGTATGTAGAGCTTGCTTTAAAGTGATGTCATTTGGGAGTCTTTTGGAATAAAACCTTTTACATAGTTCTTCAAAAAAAGCAGATGCCATTGTATCAAGGAAATCCTAAAACTGAATATTTCAAAGATGTTTTTGGTTCTCATTTCAGATCTGGAATATAGATAGTGTTCAATATGCATTTATTTCATGGAATTCAAATACTACAAAGTACGGAAAGAAATTAAATTTCAGGGCTATATTGACTTAACTTGTTTGTGTTCCCTGGTTATTGCTGTGATATTCCAAAAAGAAAATTTATCTGTAACTCTGACCGCTGACCTAAGGAAGTATTTCTCTTCTTCACTTCCTTGCTGTGTTATCAAAATGGAGATATGCTTTCTCACACTGGTCGCCTTAACTCACTTTTCACACTGCTTTGTGGGCTTCAAGTCCTTCAGTAATTCAGCTTTGTCAAGGTATCTGGTGCTCAGATCTTTCAAACTGATTTCCTTGAAGCCTGTTGTCTCTAGGTGATTGGAAAAAGATTTCCAACCTTTAAAAAATAGAAACTTGTAATATTCCTACTTAAGGATTCATCCAAAAATGATCTTCCAGGAAGAATTTATACAATGTCAACTAAGTGCCTAGGGCCAGCCATGCTTATGATTCCTGCTTCATCCCCAAAATGTTATGAGCATTTGCGTCATTGAAGAGAATTCTTCAGGTCGGGCTTGACTCTGCTTGCACACAGTTCTAACCAGGCTGGAACATAAGGTAGTTTGCAATGTTCTAGAAGCCAGCACAAAGCAGAGCTGCAAAGCCTCACTGTAGCCGGCAGCCCGTCTGTTCCTTTCCTAAGTACTGTGCTTTTTCACACTGAATTTCCCACTCCAGTGTGTTCTTTCCTGCTCTCTACTTATATTTCACTCCTGACTGCCCATTAAAATCATCTGAGAAGTTCTGAAACAATCCCAGCACCTAAGCCAAAGCCCTAGAAGTTCTGACTTACTGCCCTGGGAGAGGCTGCGGCATCATTTCTGTCTTAAAACATCCTGCAATGGCTCTGATGTGGAAGCCAGGTTGAGAAACACTGATCTAGATTACAAACCAGAAATTTAACCTGGAAGTCAAGATACTGTCCTCAGATTCCACAGCAGAGAAAAGTCGTTTGCTGGATTCAGAACCTCCCATTTACTGATGATAAATCGAGTGTAACAAAAATGAGAAAATATCAGAGTAGAAATATGGGAGAATCAGAATTCTTTTACTTGTTGAAACTAACCTGCAGAATGGGATAGGTACAGCACATCAAAGGGCTACTTTGGTTAAAAACCAAGACCAAGAAGAGGCAGAGCACTGAGGGTTGGGTTGGAAATGAGTACTAAGGGTGACTTTCCAATGAAGCAACAAAGCCAAGCAAAGATTGACCTGGGTCTGGAAGACGGTGCCTCAGGCAACATCACTGTCACTTGCTAGCCCCAGGGTCATTCTTCTTTTGCTTCAAGGAGACACAGGGAAAAGGAAAAGCAGTGAAGTGGCTGCTTAGGGCTCTGTGACCCCAGCCACACAGAGGCAGTTTTTTAGCCTGTCAGCCATGACCTGTTAGGCATGAAGGCTACTGTGGACCACCCCTGTTGGACGGTGGACATTCCCAGAGTCTTCCCCATCACATAGACCTCACAGCTGGTATCAAGAGCACCAAACATCTTCTGGGGAGGGCCAGGCCACCTTGGGGATCTCCTTGGCCTTCTGGTTCACTTGGGAGATGGGGTGAAGATGTGGGAATGTGAAGGGTGACAAGGCAGGAATTACCAGGTCAAAAGCTTCTATATAAGGATTATAAAAGCCTTGTGAGCTGGGCCGTACTGGTAAAGATTAATCCTGAGCCACTGGAAATTGTAAGTGGAAGAATAATGTAATAAAATTATTGTAAGACCAGATGTTTGTAGTATGAAGATAGAGAACCCCTTTTTTGCCCGCTGTGTCTCTTCGTAAAGCAGAAGACAGGAGACCTTGTCACAACTTCCATATCCATCAAATCTACCTCTGAGCTTTATTTCTGATCCTGTACTAGGGCTAGCGCTTCATGACATTCATAAAATAATACTTCTTCCACTGGATTTGATAAGATCTATGAACAACCTCTTAAAAAGCCTCAGAACTTTTAGTATCTGCCAAAGTGTCCTTAGGTTCAGTCCAGAACTTACCTCATACCGAACAGCCTATAAACAAGGGGAGGAAAAGAACAAATCAAGGAAACAAAGTCATCAGTTCTAGAGAACATCTCACTGGACCTCCTTGTGGACATTTTCTTGGCATGTCTGTACCACAGCTGTCACCAAATTAGGGTGACAGACATCCTGTGTGACACGCTGAAGAGTCTTGGGCTTCCACTGGACAGTCTTGCATGAATACACTACTACACTGAGTGCCATTTTGCTGGGCTTGAAAGGTGAGCACGGGGTCAATGGGACAACATGTAAACCACAGCAAGGAGTTCACCAAAAAGCTTTCCAATAAAGAAACAATTCTTTACTTCATAACCCCAATGATAATCTTAGGATAAAAGCTGTAGCTATCTTAGAGTACAGTGCTGTACACCAAAACATTCTGCAATCAAAACTTGGTGCTCAGTTAACCATAGTTCCATAGCCTGTGTAACTAAGGAACTTAATTTTGCATACTATGGTATTTCAGTTAACTTAAATAGCCACTTGTGTCTTCTGGCTGTCAAAGTTGGTAGGACAGTCATTGAGGATCCTTAAAATTTCCATCTTTCTCACATACTGAAGAAGCACTTGAAGGTTATTTTTTAGGTCTTCTAGTCAAACTGAAAAAGAGAAATTATTTCTATCTCCCCACGCCTGTGCTCTGGAATTATAGACTATTTTTCTCCTGGAGACCTGGTAGTCTAATGTTATAAAAAATACTGTTTTAGCAATATACTCTAATACTCAACTAACTATAAGAGGGTACAACCAGGGTACAACCTCTGTCTCCTGTGTGTTTGGCAGTAAAAATGGTCTTGTATTGTGGGGAGAAAGTATGCTTCAGGTCTCTATGCATGCAGTGGTAGGGATTAAAAACAGTTCCAATTCCCCAAGGGAACAGGGAAAGGGAAGATGGAGTGACAGGTAACTGCAAGGAGCAGCCTGGCTCTGGAGGAATGCATGCGTTTCAAGGGGAGTGGCTTTCATCAGCACAGCACAGCCAAACGGCTTCCCCTGAGGGCATCAGATTTTCCACTGTGAATAAATTCTCCCCACCTTTGGTCTCCTCTCTGCTATGTTCTCCTAGAAACTTATCCTTATTTGACATTTTGTGACTGAATCCCTGGAATACTCTTGGGGGGAAAACACTGATGTTTTTTCAAAAATATTAATTTCCTTGCTTTACGCTTCTGTCAGCTTTGCCTGGAAACTTAATCTGTGTGCTTCAGCTCTGCATTGTGTGTTAGTCATTGAAATGGGGCTTAATACGAATTACTGGATACTTCAGGAGCCAGGCTAGCCTTATTTTTTTCTGAAACAGCCTTTAATCTTAGGCCCAGGGATTTGCATTCTGAGAGGCAGAGCCAGCTGACTGGAGCCCTTGCAGGTTTCAGCTTGTTACAAACCTGGTTTGGTTCATTTCTTCCACTTCTGGGACCTTCTGTTGCTGCCACTCAGGGCTCACTGGTCTACTCTGAAACTCCAGTCCTTGTCCCTAGTTGTCTTTGTTCCTCTTTCAGCAGTGCTGCTGCAGCCAACCAACCATTTAATGAAAGACATTTTGCTTAGGGATTTGGGGTTGGACTTAATTACAAATAAATGGCATCCTGACCATGTTCTCCATAGGGACACCCCAACCCCATCTCTGTCTCTCTGTCTCTCTCTATCCTTTTTGTTCTTTTCTGATGATTGAACCCAGAGCCTTTGCACTGAGCTACA